ATTTTGCTTTTCCCCCACTGTCTTAGATGAAACTGCGTTTGGAAGTATCGTATCCAGAGGTTTTTTCTTTTAGTGTTAAGACTAAGTTGGCCAGAGCACCTGTCTTGGGAACAGCAGGTCCTAGGTTCAAATCCAAATTGCACCTTTCCCTCAGATTTCCATTTTCCGAGCTGAATCTGGGTTTGGATGTAATGAAACTGGAGATTCCAAAAAACACTTGACACTTGATTAAGGGTAGATTAAATAAATATAAATCAATGCATTTTTTGCTTTGATCTTGAACGGAGGCCAGGTTACTGGTCAGGTTTGAGACATGATCATCCAGACTCTAAAAGACCATGTCCATCTTGTCGGCATTTTCTGCATCTTGACATGCTGGTTTTTGTTGTGTATTGGTTTATTCTTCTTCGATTTTTGTTATCGGACAAATGTCTCTTACGGTCATTCATTGTGGTGCTGTGGCTTAGCTGGTCGACGTGCCTCTCTTGTAACCAGGAGATCCTGGGCTTGATTGATCCTGGGCTAAATTGATCCAGGTGGTGAATGCGCTTGTTTTATAGAGCTTACCGGAATGCATAATAAAATTGTATAGCTTTGAGGCGTAATGAATAGTGCGACAAATAGAGTTAAACAACCTCTTTGATTGCCATTTTAGACTTGCTGTCTTTTTTTAGTCTCTGTGTGCAAAACCGTCTAGCCTTTTTTTCAGCTTTGGTGCTGTGGCTTAGTTGGTCAAAGCGCCTGTCTTGTAAACAGGAGATCCTGGGTTCAACTCCCAGCAGTGCCTAATGTACATGTGGCAGGGTTGCTTTTTCCTAAGAGTTACGAGTGTTTACGCAGCGGGATGTTTAGCAGTCGGTTTCTAAACAAAACTCAAATCCTTAAGATCGCTACTCGTTCAAGAGGACTTCGGACGATGGCTTTATATAGCATAATGTGGTAATGCTTAACCAATTGGACTTTAATATTTCAAGTCCAGACATTCACACATGCAGCGCTACCATTGTTAGTTTTTTTCTTTTCTTTTTTCGATTAAACAATTAGCCCTTGTCAACGTCGTTTGACCCTGTGGCTTAGTTGGTCAAAACGCCTGTCTAGTAAACAGGAGATCCTGAGTTCAAATCCCAGCAGTACTTTGTCTGCAGTTGGCTGTTCTTTCATGGGCCAGAGAGTCCCAAAAAGTGCTTTTTGGTGTAGGCTCTGTGGTGCAATGGATAGCCCATTGGACTTCTAGGTTGTGAGCTGAGCCATTCAAAGGTTGTAGGTTCGAGTCCCACAAGAGTTGCAAGCTTTGCCCTTTTTCTTCACTGACTTAAGGTGTGGTGCGTTTCCAACATTTCAGGCATCTGTCCATCCCATTTTGCTTCTTTCTTTCATTGCGCAGTGCAGGCTCAGATACTAGGGGTACTCTACAATGAAGCCGATGACTTAATTGAGCTGTTTTAAATAAGGAAGATTATAAAACGGTGCAAGACCGAGTGGACTTAAGGAATGACTCGAAGGCAACCTGTGGTTTAGGGCAAAAGTGACTGCCACCTATTGTTAAGATCACACCTTTTGGATTTGTCGTACAAGAGCCTCTTTATGCATGTGCAAAGTAACTGAGTAGAAAGCATAGTAAATTTTGCTTCCCCCCACTGTCTTACATGAAACTGCGTTTGGAAGTATCGTATCCACAGTTTTTTTCTTTTAGTGTTAAGACTAACGGCTGTTTCACACCGCAAGCGCCAACAGCGCGTGTTTTTTCGGCGTCCATGTTAACAGATTAGAGCTTTCATATCGCACGCAGCAGCAGCGCGTCAGCGCGAGGCGTGAGCGTCGCTGAAGCAGCAGTGCAGCGATAGTTTTGGCGCCGGGTCTATTTTTGACGCGCTGCTCACGCTCAATTAAAGTGACAGTGCATTAATAATGACCAAAACACAATGAATGACAGTAAAAAGTAGCAATTGTACCCAATAAATGCCTTAATAATGTCAACTGATTTATATATAGTAAATTGTAACCCAGGTTACTAGTGGGTAGTACACAGCAATAGAGCAAATAGAAATACCCTTATAAATATGAAAAAAAAAACATTGGCAGAATACTCGATTAAATAATATATATTAAAATTATTTATTTATATAAATAAATCATAATAGAGTATTAAACAGCATTCAAAGGAATAGTGCTTTAGAATAACATCATCGTGCCTTACACTATAGCAGATCAGATTTACAAACAATAACAAATCTCTCTTGTCTGTTAGCTTGTGTTTACCGTTGCTATGGTGATTCAGTGTTTGCAAGGGAATGCAGAGATGTAAGTTTTTAAATTAATAACAGTAGAAAACTATTAGATATATATATCTTTTAATGTTTTAAATGTGTATTAACTGTGAAAACTGACCATTAATAAGATGCTGAAATGATTTCTATCATATACCTTTAATGAAGGATTGAGAGAAAAAAAACAAGATTTGTATCTGTGAGTGAAATCTGCACACGAGTGCCACCTGGAGTTTTCCTGGTTTTTCGTTTTGATTTTGAATGATTTTCTTGATGAGTTCGTTTTTTTTTTTTTTTTTTTATTGTTTTCATTATAACATGATTTAAACTAGTGTCAAAAATGTGTTTTATCAATTAACAATTTGTTAGGTCTAGTGAAAACACAAGTGATTGTGTAAAGTTTAAGTGAGATAGTTTAAGTAAAATGCTGTCATTTGTAAAAAGAAAATGCCAAATAGGAGAAAGAAATAGGAAAAACACAGAAATTCAGCAGAGAGAAGTATATACATGGTTATTTATTGTTGCTGTTTATTTACAAATATGTTAAGCTGAGATAATGCATACACTGTAAAATGCTAATGTTTTTTTTCCCCTTTGTTTGTTTGCTTGTGCATCTTCTGGTTTTTCATCGGTGAGATGTTCTATTGAAGTCAGTTGCTGAATGTGATCTGCTCTGGATTCTAATTAATTGAAGTGTGAACTCTTTTCTGGATTTGGATTGTCTCAACTTCCATCGGTGCGTGTCTAATTGTGGAGTTGGACTGGCGAGCCTCCCGTTAAGTGGATTCTTTGGATACACCTGTTGGAAAGATACAAAGTGAAACCTATTCAGAGTCATGGTAGGAGTGTAAATTTACAACACACTCACAAGTGCAATATCCTGGATCTCTGGAACTGAATTTGCAACCTAGTTGTTTTGCAAAAGAATCTTTTTGAGTGTTCATCACCTGTACTGGACTTTTGGGACATTTTGAAATGTTTTAAGTGAATGTTTTATTTTCATTTTTATTTTATTTGTACAGTTTCATTGGAGTGTTCATTTGTTGCATTTTTTGAAGCTTTATAGAGAGAAGTTAATTGGTTTAAGAAGGGAAACCTTGATTATATATTGAATAATAAAACAATTTTAATATTGTACTATTAAGAGGGTTTTGGACGATGGCATTATATAGCATGGTAAGGTGATGCGTAACCAATTGGATTTTAAAATTTTTAAGTCTAGACATTCAAACATGCAGTTAGTCATTAGTTGGTCAAAACACCTGTCTAGTAAACAGAAGATCCTATGTATGAATCCCAGCAGTACCTTATCTGCAGTGAGCTGTGCTTTTATGGGCCAGAGAGTACCAAAAATTGCTTTCTGTGCATCAGTGCTAGAGGCAGGAGCTCTGTGGTGCAATGGATAGTGCATTGGACTTCTAGGCTGTGAGCTGAGGCCAGTGCGAGCCAGGACGAGCCGGGGCAATTGCCCAGGAGGTTAAGCAGTGAGGCCGAAATCATGCTGCGTTTCCACTGTCGGGCTAGTAGCTTGCAGCACGTCACGCAAACCCCGCCCCATAACATCCCCCGAATCAAACGTCACACAACCCGCCCACTTCAGTAGGAATCAGCCAGATAAAGCACACCATCACATCCTCACGAAACCTTTCAAATAAAGACAACTGAAACAAACAATTGACACGTTACTGTACAACATAACATTTTATGTCTATACGCACATGCCTGTGTGTTCTCATTCATCATATTCATGTACTCACCGACCGACTGAATTTGAAACTAATTTTCATGCGAAGCAACACGCCCCTTCAGCTACTCCAGAACGCAGCAGCATGAGTGGTCTTTAATGAATTGAAAAGAGCACATGTCACTCCGCTACTCACCCGTTTGCACTGGCTGCCAGTTGCTGCTCGCATCAAATTCAAAGCTCTGATGTTTGCCTACAAAGCAACCTCTGGCTTTGCTCCCTCTTATCTGCTCTCACTTCTGCAGATTTATATGCCCTCAAGAAACTTGCGTTCTGTGAATAAACGTCGCCTCGTGGTTCCATCCCAAAGAGGGAAGTAATCACTTTCCCGAACTCTCACATTCAATCTGCCCAGTTGGTGGAATGAACTCCCTAACTGCAACAGAACGGCAGAGTCACTTGCTGTCTTCAAGAAACGACTTAAAACTCAACTATTTAGTCTCCACTTCACTTCCTGATCTGCAATTGCCTCTAGCTATACCACTAACTGTACTCAAAAAATAATAATAATAATAATTCTTACATTACTAATGCTTTCCTTCTTAGACTTTACAGCCCTGAAACTTGCCTACAGCACTTATTTATTGTTGCTCTTATAGTTGTGATAATTGCTTCCTTGTCCTCATTTGTTAGTCGCTTTGGATAAAAGCGTCTGCTAAATGACTAAATGTAAATGTAAAACAGCAAGCTGTGTACACACCCTTAAAATGACACATTATAACACATTATAATAAAAAAATCTGGATTGTGTTTTGAACTGAACCTAGACTGGCACACTCAGAAGAACCATAATAATAATGTTAAATCATTAAAAAAGGGGTAAACTATGTGCCCTTTAAGCAATGTGTTTACTTTATTAATTATTCAATAATCATCAAGATTGATAAAAAAGTTCAACACACACAGCAGTGAACGTGTGCACACACACATCAGTGAACATGTATACACACACACACACACATCAGTGAACATGTATACACACACACACACACAGTTGGTACAGTAGGCCTACATACTGTATCTACCTTGGAAGAAGTGATATGGTTCTTAAAGTGTTGTTTTATGTATGGAGCCTGATTGAATTTTATTATAGTGTTTTCGTAAAAACATCTGTCCATAATTCCTGAAAATAGAAAAAATATATATATAAATAAAGAAACTGCAAAGAAACGATTCAATCATATTAAAGAGATTTGAACTAACCTTCTAACACAACTAGCGGTCCAGGTCCCTGACGGAATATGGCTCCCCAGACATGAATTTTTACTGGATACTTTGCTTTCGGGTTCACAACATGGCGGTTTATTAATAGGGTATGTCCTATTAATAAATTTGTAGGACATGTAAGCTCGTATAAAGCAAATAGCCTAAATAAAGAGATGCATGGATTAATGTAAATAAATAAATCTTTTCATTATGGCATTGTTCAAAATGGCTTACCTGGCTTTTCCAGAGGTCCACCTGAGTTGTTTTACTGGTTTTCTAATATTGCAGACTGATGCTTTTAACTGTATTCTAAACAGAAGCTCACTCTGAATCTTTTTAGCAGATCGCTATTGTGGATTGTGCTGCACAGCCAACTTAAAAGGGACTGCATCAAAGGCAACCCAGGTGGCCCATACTAAAAACAACAAGAACAAAAAGTATTTATAAAAAAGTAAGATTTTTTTTTGGCACAGCAGGGTCTTTCTTCAGGGCTCGTTAATCAAGGGGTATGATTCTCGCTTAGGATGCGAGAGGTCCTGGGTTCAATCCCCCGACGAGCCCTACAGCTGTCACAGAAGAAGCAGTGGAACTTTGGCATTTCTACATTAATTGTAGCACCTTTTGCTGTGACTTTAGTTAATGAACATTTAGTGGACTTCTAATTTAAATTAGTTTAACATGTACAATTATACAGACAAAACCGTCTGCTACCCTCAGGCAGATGGTTCCGCAGCATCTGGTTACGCACCAGCCGGCTAAAGGAAAGTTTCTTCCCTCAGACTATCAGGCTGATGAACACTTAACACACAGGCTCTTCCATACCCTCACTGCACACCATCGATATGTAGCATGCACTGACCTTTAGCCAATCCATACTTGAAACAACACTGCCTACAACTATGTGGACACCTATTCATTGTACATATCGCTGTCAATTTCACATTGTCATTTTATTTGTCTGTTATTTGTACTGTCGTTGTATTTGCACTGTCATTGTTTTTGCACTATCTGTATTTTTTACTGTTTGTACAGATAATTTTTCATGTTTTTTGGTGAATTTTTCATGATTTTTGGTGATTTTTCAAGATTTTTTCATGATTTTTCAAGATTTTTTCATCTTTCATGATTTTTCGTGATTTTTCAAGTTTTTTCATTTTTTCATTTTTTATGATTTTTCTTGATTTTTCATGATTTTTTGATTTTTTTATGTTTTTTCAAAATTTTTTTCATTTTTCGTGATTTTTCGTTATTTTTAAAAAAAATTCATTTTTCTAGATTTTTTGTGATTTTCATATTTTACGATTTTTCAAAAAATTTTAATTTTTTGTGATTTTTTTTGATTTTTCAAAAAATTTTAATTTTTTTTGATTTTTCAAAAAAATTTCATTTTTTGTGATTTTTCAAAAAATTTTCATTTTTTGGGATTTTTCAAAAATGTTTCATATTTTGCGATTTTTCAAAAAATTTTAATTTTTTGCGATTTTTCAAAAAATTTTCATATTTTGCAATTTTTAAAAAAATTTTCATTTTTTGCGATTTTTCAAAAATTGTTCATATTTTCCAAATTTTCTAAAATTTTTCAGTTTTTGTGATTTTTCAAAAAATTTTTATATTTTGCGATTTTTTAAAAAAAATTCATTTATTGTGATTTTTAAAAAAAAATTCATATTTTGCGATTTTTCAAAAAAATTTCATTTTTTGCGATTTTTCAAAAATTTTTCATATTTTGTGATTTTTCAAAAATTTTTCAGTTTTTGTGATTTTTCAAAAAAATGTTATATTTTGCGATTTTTCAAAAAAATTTTCATTTTTGTGATTTTTAAAAAAAATTTCATATTTTGCAATTTTTCAAAAATTTTTCATTTTTTGTGATTTTGCGATTTTTCAAAAAAAATTTCATTTTTTGTGATTTTTCAAAAAAATTTAATATTTTGCGATTTTTCAAAAAATGTAAATTTTTTGTGATTTTTAAAAAAAATTTCATTTTTTGTGATTTTTTGCGATTTTTCAAACAATTTTCATTTTTTTGTGATTTTTTGCGATTTTTTAAAATTGTTCATATTTTGCGATTTTTCAAAAATTTCATTTTTTGCGATTTTTCAAAAAATTATATTTTGCGATTTTTCCAAAAATTTTCATGTTTTTGTGATTTTTCAAAAAAGTTTCATGTTTTGCGATTTTTCAAAAAAAATTTATATTTTGCGATTTTTCAAAAAAATTTCATTTTTTGTGATTTTTTTGCGATTTTTCCAAAAATTTTCATATTTTGCGATTTTTCAAAAATTTTTTATATTTTGCGATTTTTCAAAAATTTTTCATGTTTTGCGATTTTTCAAAAAATATTCATGTTTTGCGATTTTTCAAAAAAATTTTCATGTTTTGCGATTTTTCAAAAAAATTTCATATTTTGCGATTTTTCAAAAAATTTAAATTTTTTGTGATTTTTAAAATTTTTTTTCATTTTTTGCAATTTTTTGCGATTTTTCAAAAAATGTTCATTTTTTGTGATTTTTCAAAAATGTTTCATATTTTGCGATTTTTCAAGAAAAAAAAATTTCATTTTTTGTGATTTTTCAAAAATTGTTCATATTTTGCGATTTTTCAAAAAATTTTCATATTTTGTGATTTTTCAAAAAATTAAAATTTTTTGTGATTTTTAAAAATTTTTTTCATTTTTTGTGATTTTTTGCGATTTTTCAAAAAATTTTCATATTTTGTGATTTTTCAAAAAATTTAAATTTTTTGTGATTTTTCTAAAAATTTTCATTTTTTGTGATTTTTTGCGATTTTTCAAAAAATTTTCATGTTTTGCGATTTTTCAAAACATTTTCATTTATTGTGATTTTTTGCGATTTTTCAAAAAATTTTCATATTTTGTGATTTTTTGCGATTTTTCAAAAAATTCTTTTGTGATTTTTAGTGATTTTTCAAAAACTTCAGTTTTTTTAATTTTTTGCGATTTTGTGAAAAAAAATTCATTTTTTGCGATTTTTCAAAAAAATGTTCATTTTTTGCGATTTTTCAAAAAATTTTCATTTTTTGCGATTTTTCAAAAAATTTTCTTTTTTGTGATTTATTGCGATTTTTCAAAAAAATTCGATTTTTGGTTATTTTTTTAAAAAAAATTCATTTTTTGTGATTATTCAAAAAATTTTAATGTTTTGTGAATTTTCAAAAATTTTAATTTTTTTGAATTGTTTATTATTTTTTATTTTTCGTGATTTTTTGTGCTTTTTCAAGATTTTATCATTTTTCATGATTTTTCTTGATCTTTCAAGATTTCATTTTTCGTTATTTTTCGATGTCTTTTCATTTCTCGAGATTTTTCATGACACTGAAGCGGTTCCAGCAGTACATTCTCAGCAAAGATATAGGCTTTATTTTATTTTTTTAACTACTTTATTAAAAATATATATCATGCTGGCAACATTTCATGCAAACTACAACTTGTAACTCACAGAAACCCCCAATGGACAGGCCTTTTCCTGCAGTGGCAGCCAGCTCCAGCTCATCGGGTTCTAGAGGTGACGGTGGATGCACAGATGATGCGCTACTTGTGAAAAACCCTCAATGCTTTTGAAGCACAAGGTGCACAGCAAATTCATTGGTGTTCAATTTTTAAGTGTTGTGGTAATTCAGAGTGATGAGTTGTTTAATGTGATGAGTTGTTTTAAAGATGTTGAAAATAAAAATAAATTTTATTGTGTAATTTGTTTATTTTTTTTTTATTCATTATTATTTTATTTAAAGTTTTATTCTCAGTTGATTTCATCTTTGGTTTTGGCTACTGTTGCCAGTATTTTGATATACATTTTACATATATTTTACACAATAAGAGTTTGCTAATTAACACTCTCTGAGTGGTAAAATTTTTTTTAACACTTTCAAAAGTGTTATTTTAACACTTTTATAGTGGTTCCCATATAAACACTGAGGGAGTGTTAATTTGAACTCTAAGGTAGTTAAATCTACAATCTAAAATTTGCAGTGTGTATAACCCTTTATTATTGTCTTTAATTGTTTATGTACCATAGCATAATCAATGAAACACAACATCAAAACACTGTGCTGATGAGATTGTCTTCTTGCTGCTTTGACACTGACTTTTGCCTATCTTGTGTTTTTTTTTTTTGTCCTTCTTTAGCAGTTGAGAACAAAGGCGGTCTGCCGAAGAAACCACTCAGCTCCTCTGAAAGACAAGATATATCACATAATAAATGTCACTTATTAACATTTATTCATACTGTTGTAGCATGAACTACAGTTGAGGGCCCTACTGTGAAATATTTATTTAAGGTAATGGAGCAAGGACATGTTCACAGTACTTAGGATAGTTTATTATCTTCTGAAGAAAGTTTTATTTGTTTTTTTATTTATTTTTTTCTATCGGCTACAGAACAGTGTTAACCTAGTTAAGCCTTTACTTTCCCATGCTGAATATGGTAACACTTTAGTATAATAGTCCTTTAGTTAATCAATTTATTAACACTAAGTGTCACCAATCTTGTGCCGCATTTATTAATTACAGGTCAACATTAATGCATTATTAAAATCCAAAGTTGTGCTTGTTGACATTACTTAATGCACAGTGCATTAATGAACTAACGTTATTTAACTTAAACATTAAATCGTTAACAAAGATGAATGAATACTGTAATTAATGTATTAAATTTCTTGTTCATGTTAGTAAATGCATTAACTAATATTAACTAATGAACTATTACTCTAAAGTGTTACCCTAAAGGGTGACACTTTACAATAAGTTTGTATTAGTTAATGTCAAAGCATTTACTACCATAAACAAGCAATGAACAATACACATAATACAGTATTTGTTCGTGTTACAGTCATCCATGCCAACTCACAGTCCATCAACTAAGCATTAAATATTATTTTAATAAAGCATTAGTACATGTTGAACTATGATTAAAAATGTTGTACAAGCATTGTTAATAATTAGTACATGTTAGTAAATACATTATCTAATGAAACCTTATTGTAAAGTGTGACCCAATATTATGTTCTGTCATCATGGCAAAGATAAATTATAAGAAATTAGTTATTAGAACTATTATGTTTAGAAATGTGCCTGAACAAGTCCTCTCTCCATTACACATAAATTGTGAAAAATAAACTCAAATTTAACAGGGGGGTTATAATTCCGGCTTCAACTGTGTGCATTAATAAATAAAAGTCGTCACACAAAGACACTGTCTTCTGATAATCACAACTGTGCTCATTTAGGAGCCGGGGAAGCAAAGAGAAGAAAACGTTCCTGTGAAGATCTGTCACAGAAGCCCCACTCAGACTCTCCACTGTCTGCTGTAAGTTCATCGTTTGTACATCACAATTAGGTGGTTTATATATTCCTGAATACAGTTTTGTGAGCATAGATGGGGAGGCCGTGCAAAAAGTATGATTATGTCAATGAAAAAGGTTTTAACTATTATACTTACTTTGTTGAAGGCTCCTGCATCGACTTCTTTATTGGAGGCTCCTGCATCAGCCTCATCAGTTCCTGGCCAGTCTTCTTCATCGGCTCCTGCATCAGCCTCGTCATTTCCTGCCTCGGCTTCTTCATCGGCTCCTGCATCAGCCTCGTCAGTTCCTGCCTTGGCTTTTTCTTCGGCTCCTGCATCAGCCTCGTCAGTTCCTGCCTTGGCTTCTTCTTCGGCTCCTGCATCAGCCTCGTCAGTTCCTGCCTCGGCTTCTTCATCGGCTCCTGCATCAGCCTCATCAGTTCCTGCCTCGGCTTCTTCATCGGCTCCTGCATCAGCTGCTGTGTCAGCTTCTGACGTTCAACCTAGAAGGTCATCTGGTGGGTCAACACACAGTGACCCAGCACATTCTGAGGTAACTGTCAAAGAACTCTGTGGTTGTGAAGATAAGAAAAATTAATACTTTAATACTAAAACTTTAATTGATTTTAACACAGATTTGTCTCGGTTATTCTAATTACCAGGTGTCATTTGAGGGTTGGCACAAGATGTGGGAGTCTGGTCTCCATGGGCTGCCCAGTGCAGACATACTGTGGCTTAAGGAGGATGCTGAAAGGGGACTGTTTCAGAGGGCCATGTCTTATAAAGACAAACATGGAAACAGAAAGTGGAGGAAAGTCCTGAAGGATGACCGGATGTGGTTTCACCCTCCAGAATTTCCTGGAGTGGTGGAAAGAAAAGTCCCCTGAGCAGACTCCTTTTTTCACAGCTCCGTTTTTTTCTGGAGACCAGTCGGTGTGTGGCGTTACAGTCTTCGGTGCCCAAGGTCTGACTGCCCAGCACGCACCAATCAGAAGGCTTTTCTCTACCGTTGTGGGTATTCATCCACGGTAAGACAGATCTGCCACATGTCTGGCTGGTACTCCATGCGGACTGAGGTCCTGGCATGCAACGCCTGTAGAAAGGCTGCAAAGGAGTCGGAAGAGCATACTATTGGTCGTTTCCTGTCATGGGATCAGTGCATCCTTAACCAGCTCAGTCCAGCTCACAGAGCGGTGTTTCCTGCTGTCTTGACGCTACGGTGAGTCTCTAGCAGAATACAAATCATTGTGAAATTATGCAGAGTCTTAAAAAAAGTTAAGATTCACCATCCTCTAATGATTGTCTTGCTCCTATGATTCTAGGCATGGCGTGGACAAGCAGGTGATCCGCCTGATGAGGGATCGCACTGAGGGAAACACCATGGTGAAGGTTTGGAGACAGGTGCAGGAGAGCCACTGCGAGGACTATCTGCAGAGAAAGGACTTGTACACCACTCTTCTCAGCCAGTACAACAAACCTGGGAAGATCACTAGTAAGTCAGAGTTAATTGTTTTCTTTAAGGGATAGTTTACCCAGAAATTAGTAGTTTTAAACCTTTATGAGTTTCTCTCTTTTGTTAAACACAAAAGAAGATATTCTGAAGAAAGCCGAAATCCTGTAACCATTGACTTCCATTGTAAAAAAACAAACAAATACTATTGAAGTCAATGGTTACAGGTTTCTGACATTTTTCTAAATATCTTGTTTAGTGTTTAAAAGAAACCCATAATGGTTTACAATCATTAAAAGGATCAGCAAATGATGACAGAATTATTATTTTTAAATTCCTATCCTTTTGAGCATTTATTCAAAGATTAAGCAGCAAAGTGTCTGTTTTCTCTGCTTTTAGGGAGTTTGTGCCAGCAGTTCCAGCGACCACCAGCACAGAGAGAGCCGCCATCTGCCAGACTGATGAGAAAGGCGTTCCTTATCTCAGAGGCAGATAACATCGAGGACTACCGTACTCAGATTATGTCCACATTTGGGCAAGTCCTGAAGTACGACTCCACCAAGAAGGTAAATTTAACACAATGGAAAAAAAGTCAGTTTGTAAACGTATTGCTAAACCTTTTTACTGTTATTCTTTCAGGAAATCCTTTATCAGAGAGATTTTATCCTTAAAATATTATTGTCCACTCTTGCATCATGGGACATTTTAATCATTAATTATTAATGACAATTGATAAGTAAAGTATTATTAATTGTTTAATAATAAATAATTATCAATAAATTAATATCTAATATGGGTTACTAGTGCTTTAAAATCCTGTTTGTCACCATCACACGCACCAGATTATTAATCATACTTACCTACGTCTTTGTGTGTCGTTTTCTTCACTTCAGGTTTCCTCTTGCATGCTCTGCATCCGAAATCTAATGAGCTGCAATGCAAAAACACATCATTAATTCTTTTCTGAATATTTGTGACTGTTACTTTCTTGGTCTGGTGCAGAAAAAAAAAATACAAAATACAAAAATGTTTAAATCTGTTTGTGTTGTATTTGTTATCAGATCTGCAAGAAACTCTCTGGCGATGGAAAAGGCACTGCAGAGTGGTGTACCAATGTGGCCAACGGGCAGGGGCAGATCCTCATATCTGTTCTCACCTGTGAGGAGTCATTGGAGAAGATGAGGCCGATGGCTGAAGGCCTCATGGAGAGGTACAGGAGAGCTGACGAGGCACCGCCCGAGCTCATGTATGTGGATCGCGGCTGCTGTCGCGTCCACGCCGTGTCCTCGGTTGAGCAGCTCTTCAGTGACTGGACGGACAGGGGCATGCTGGTACGGCTGGACATCTTTCATTGGATCCATTGATTCGATGCAGCCCTACGGACAGATCATCATCCAAAGTATGCCCTGTTCAAGTCTGCCCTCTCTGCTGCTGTCTTTGCCTACAACAAAGACGACATGGCTCTTCTGGTACAGGCGATACGTGCCGGTCACCCAACCAACTATGCCTCCCTGACTGACAGCCAGATCATCGAGCTGCGTGTCAGTAAATATGACCTCAGCCATTATGTCAGGAGGATCACAGTTGGTGCACAGGAAACATGTGCGCGCGTGCAGTGCGCCATTGATCTCCTGAAGGGAGCCACAGGGATGGATGAGAACCAGGTGCATCTGTTTAAGGACTCTGCAGCCATCGACCACGTCTGGGAGAACCAGCAGAAGCACCTTGAATGCATCCAGGATCCACCAGGGAGGAACATGTACACCATCACCAAGTATGTGACCCGTAACTGTGTTCGTCTTGCGCGGTACAGTACGGTGAGAGGAAGCAACAGTCTGGAGGGCTTTCATTCCTTTCTGCCTGACATGATCCCGGGACCCCACTGTGCTGCCATCCCGTTTCAAGTCTATCTGTTGGCTGGCATCGCACGCTGGAACTCTAACAGGGAGTCAGCCAGCGTCCAAGGGCGGAAAGGGAGGAAACATATGGTGTACATGTCTTCTCCGGTCCATCGCCTAAACCAAAGGTGCCAGGAGCTATTTGGGGAGGTGGAGGAGGCAAACTACAGGCCTCCGGTTCCTGCTGGTGATGAGCGCATTTGTCTGGAGTACCTGTTTTCCCAGTCCTCAGAGCCCTTCAGTGCTCCTGATCATTACGCTCAGACTAGAGAGACACTTCAGGCAGATGAGGATGAGGACGAAGATGTTCCTGCTGGGGTGGCAGAGGAAGAGGAAGAGCTGCAGGAGGAAGATGATTATGTGGGCTACTCCTCAGACCGCGAGAGGGACAGCCTGACTCCTCTGAGGAACCGTCTGTGCCTCACCGATCAGGCAGTGGCTGCTGAATTTGACACCTGTGTGGAGGACGTGTGCTGTCCCAATCATCTGCCTGGGTACCAGCACGTAGAGGATCTGTGTAAAGTCCTTGTTGAGATCGCCCTGGAGGAAGGAAAACTTGCCTTAAATGAGTCGACCAGGCAAAAGGTCATCAGCGCCTGGAACAAGCTTGACCTCCATGACTGCAGCATCCAACAATTCGACAGCCTCTACTCTGCACGCTGGGGCAATGCTCTGTTTGGCCGCACCAGTGGAGATCCGACTGAGGCGTCCCTGGTGCAGAAGCTCAAGTTCAGCAAGCGGTACTCAGCCGCACACTTGGTGGACCCCAGAAAGAACCGGCTGATGTACTGCCTGGTCAAACAGCTGTGGCTTCATCCTGGTGTTAGAGGAAAAGCTAAAGGGTCACCGCTGAAACAGCAGATCACTAAACTGTACCAGCGTGTGCAGCAGAGAGTGACGGTGGACGATGATCAGCTCAGCAAACTCGGGATTCCCATCCTGAAAATAAATTCAAAGTGCGTGAGCGAGTTCATCAGGAGGCAGGAGGCGCTGTCAGCCACAAACGTCACCGACCAGGGTCTGTCTGTCCTCCGTCGTCACCAGAGCGTCTCCAGCACCAGCCAGCCCCCCGCTGAGGAGCTTCCAGAGGAAAGACCCCATACCAGCCGGCCTGCAGTGCAGTATCAAATCACCACTTCTCTGGCCGGCACCCGAAAGTTGAAGCAAAGGCTCCCGCAAATCTTACCTGTCCCTCCCTCTGCTCTTGCTCAACCAGTTCCTGCGCCGGCCCATTTGATGCCCGCAGGACTCCGGCACACACACACTTCGCTGACTGCACCTCCCGCTGTTTCCTTGCCGCAGGCAATCACTCCGCTACTGTTGCCCTCAAAATCAACAGTCTACAAGAGGAAAAAGGCAGAACTTAGTGGCTCTGGACATCCAACCTCAGTGAAGGTTTACATCTGTGCTCTGTGTGGCCAACCAACTCAAGGCCACAAGAAATACAGAAAGAAGAGCTACTGTGAGAGCTCCAAAGCCTCCACGTCCACAAACCTTGCTGGGCAGACTTTGACTGTTTTGAAGACTTTAAAAGGGCTGTGGACGTTCTCTTGGGCTCTCAGTCTCAGGCCTCCGAGTCTGTCTAACTGGACCTCTATCCATGTTATTGTTGCAAAAATGGATATGTTATAATAACAGTTGGTTGTTTGAAAGTTTACAGTGTTTTACACTAATCTGTTGATTGTTGTAACACTGGTATTGATGCAAAAATGTATGTTATAATAACAGTTGATTTTTTAAAAGTTTACAGGTTTTTACGCTTTGCACTAATTTGTTGACTGTTTTTTACACTTATTGTTGCACAAATGTTCGCAATATTAACAGTTGACTGTTTCAGAGTACACATAGTTTTATACTAATTTGTAGATTGTAACTTATTGTTAATTTACAAAAGTTAAGCTTTTTTTTTACAGTTTGCACTAATTTGTTGATTGTTGTAGAAACAAATTTTATATTAACATTTGACTGTTTAAGTTTACAGTGTTTTACACTAATTTGTTGATTGTTGTAACACTGTTTTGTTCCAGAAATGTATGTTATATTAACAGTTTATTGTTTTACAGTTTACAGTATTTCTTTAATTGTTTTCTTGTTTTTATTTATTTATTTATTTATGTATGTATTTATTTATGTTTATTAAGTATATATTATCATAATGTTATTTAAAGTACTTTAATATAATTATTTTATTTAATTATTTATTTATTATAAAATTTTAGTAATAAAAATATATAATTATGTTATTTAAAGTACTTTAATTATTACTTTGTGATAACTAATGTTGCTTTATATACTTTAATTGTTAGCTTTGTTTTTTTTTAAGAGGATTTATTTATTTTTTTTATATCTAAATGCTTGACCTGGCAGTATTTTTTTATGTATACAAATATATTCTTATATCTATAACTGCTATCAGTAATATTAAAACTAAGGATTGTAATAGTAATGTGTTTTTTATTATGTACAAAGTATATCTATAGTATACATTTTTATGTCAGGCAGGTCTAACAATATGTTTAGAACTTTTCTTTTGCACTTTTAATAAATTTGGATAATAAAATACAATCTCGTGTTTCTTTTTGTATGTGTTGGAAGGACTTCATTGGTTTTTAAAAATTGCCTAAATCTTCTGATTTTGAATTTAATTTAGAATCATTATCTGAGTCTATGACAATAATATGCAGTCCATTTTAATAGTAACCTCTGGTACAGGCGCTCTGAAAAGTCTATTGCTCCTCTGTGTTTTTCCAAGTCCACCTCTGGAGTCGATGACAGCTTATCCTGTTGCCGTCAGATGGGATGCCACTGGATTCATCCTTAAACCACACTCCAACATCAAGCTCCACCAGCAACACACAAATACAAAAACAGTACATTATTCAAATATCCTATGACATTACACTCTCAAAATAGAAATGTTGTAATTTGTTACAAAGTAGTTAGTTACTATAATTAAAATACTTACCCAGTAACAAAGTAAGGGATTATTATTCATTTTATGTAATTGTATTACTGCTATTAGAAATATGATGGTATATCTGTATAATATAATAGAACAGAAGCAAAATGTTTCCATTTTTTGTTATACAAACATATTTAAGAATAATTCTACTAAACATTATGCATTTATAAAAAAGTTTGACCTTTAATTACTACTATTACATGTGAATATTTTATTTATAGCAATGATATTACATATATTAATTTATATATTCCATCTGTTGAGGTTTATGGGGATTTTGAGTGAAGCATTAAAAGTAATTTAATTTAAAAAGCAACTTAAATTTTAATAACAAACTTATTAAATGATCATTTCATAGTTCACTTTTGTGCACAGTTAGAGTTGTTTGCTTTAATTTCAAAAGCACCACACCATATACAACGTGTCCTGACAGTTACTACTATTTGTTTTGACGACATCACCAGGGGGTTGTTCACTCAAAAACGCAGTTCATTCATGGTTTGCTGAAACTCAATCAACCAAACACGTGCCGTAATTGCCTACACATCTATAATGAAATTTGCACGTCGTACAGGTCGATCACCATTCGCTTTCTACAGTCGTGCAATGTGTACGGTGACCGTAGATATTGTCTACTGTCTGCGACCAATGAAAACAGCGGATTGTGAATCCAGCCGTCCAATCGCTGCAAGGGGGCGTCATCCTTTCGCTCTTCTCGCCGCAATCAAAGGATGCAAACTTTAGTTTGTTGCTTTTTCTGTTTTAAACAAATGTAAATGCATAAACACTGGATTTCTTCAGCTCAATTAACCAACAACCAGCATACAACGGCGTTGCTTTGAAGGTGAGTCCACATCTGTTGATTTTACTACTCAAATCATTGACTAAGCAGACATAAAGATTAATTTTGCTGTTGTAAACAGTCTAATTGTGTTTATCAAGCTTGAAAAACTTGCAATTGGTGTTCTATTGCGACGCAGTATTGTTGTTGATTGATAAAGATTAATTTTCGGATCGTGACAAGTTACAGTATGTACAGTAAACCGGTGTTTTAACGTGTATTTAGACATTCGGTGCGACGTACTGTTTGTCCTGTTCCACCGTAACGTTCATCATGTCCCCGATTGATAAAAACAAACATAAATGACAAAACAACAATGTCTCGGACACAATATGCTTTTGTATGCTGTCTAAAAGTGAATTTACGTTTAACACAATATTTATAAACACAACGAATATATGAAAACGCTTGTTTCATCGTCACTGATGCTGTAAACATGACAAAACATTTAACAAAAGCTGATATCGATGTATGCATTTATGTAAATCAAATATAACAGTAAATATTCATGTAAAAGTCAAGACAAGTATACCTAAATATACTATTCATGGCCTTTAGCTGGTGATTATAACGTTCTATTCAAATGTTTAATGTTATTTATGTTTTTATAATGGGAAATAGTCATATCTTTAATGAGAGCACATACATAAACACCTTTGAACCACTAAAAATGTTTATAAACATGATAGGCAGCATTTTTAAAAAGCTTATTCAGCCCTGTGATTTTTAGTAATAAATACCTATGTAAACATTAACATGTGAGCTCCGTCTATGTTAATAAATCTTTATAGCATTTAGCTAGTAATTACAGCATTATATCATTTTATTATATTATTATTATGTTGCAATATTGTGAAATCATCCTAACTGCAACGATCAGCACATAAATGGGCACATTTATATCTCTGAAAACATTTATAAACATGACAGACAGCATTAAAAAAAAAAACGATACCACCTTGTAGTCATTTATTCCATTAAATATTTATGTAAACATTAAGACATGTGCTTACATTAATTAACCATTCATGTTTTGATGTAATCAACCATTCATGTTTATTTTGATGCCTTTTAGCTTGAGATTACAACATTATATCATTCAAGTCAAGCATTATATTGTTTAAAGCATGCATTTATGTTTAATAATGTTAATAATGTGTTACCATAAATTTCTAAATATATTTATGACTGCATGATATCATTCATAAGGCTTAAAACCCATCTAATATATGTGTTTTTTTTCCAGAGACCTCCGAGACCTCCAAGATGGCATTGCCGACACTCCGGATTGTAAATCCATCTGCTCCTCTGGACCGTCAGCAAGCCATTTTACAGGCGTCAAAGGAGGCCCGTTTGTACAGGGAGAGAAAGCTTAGCTTTGCTCTCCCACCGGCACAGCTCCTGAACGAACATGCTGCATTTAATCATGCAGAAAGGCTCCTTCGAGCTGAAGGAACTTTGGCTCCATCACGGCAGCAGTGTTTGGGAAAGCTGGTGCTACCTTTTGGCCAGTATGCCAACGCCCCATTCCACTGGCTGGCAGAAAATGATGTGGGCTACATGAAGTTGTAAGCACATGCCATTTTGTGTTTTATAAATTTAAGAACTACTAAAATTAGATAATATAGTTAACTTTATATTATATATAATGTCTATATTTATACAGATGTTTTCAGTCTAGTTTATTTTGCTATTTATTTGCTGTGCAATTGTTCAAATGTGTTTGCAGTGTGATCGATAAGCACAGGGAGGAACTGGCCAAGCAACCCAAAAAGATCCACAATGGCTGGATAAAGGACTGCTTGGCAGAATATGCAGAGAGCTTCCCTCAGCTGTCAGTAACCCTGGAAGCTAACGTCCACCGTGGCATCTACGGGCAGAAAGGGTTTGAAAACTACACATTTCAGGAGATGTGGGAGCTGTACAGCCAGCGTGCTGCCTTGATGGACAGGCCTGAAGATTTTAGCAGCAATCAGAAAGACCTAATTCTCAGGGCACATAACTCTGTCACCCGCTGGCTGCACACTCCTGTTACACACATCAGCAGTGTGCAGATGAAGCGGTTTAGAAAATACATATATGACAAAAAGGACCAGGTAAGTCTTATGGAATACAAAACATAAAATGTTATGTCACTTCTTATTTTTATTTGTACGTACAACATTTTGGATTAAATTTACATTTTAATGTTTTTTTTATTTATTTTTTTTACACAGAATTTAAAATCTACAGCTGATGTTCCTTCATGGTCAAGGTCAAAAGTGCCATCATCAAGAACCACATCAACATCAACATCTGCTTCTACCTCTGCCAAGGCTGCCACAGCTTCCACCACCGATATGGCTTTAACCTCTGCTATGGCTGCCACCACCTCCATGGCTTTCACCTCTGCCATGGCTGCCACCACCTCCATGGCTTTCACCTCTGCTACTGCTTCCACCTCTTACACTGCTGCCACCTCTGCTACGGCTTCTACCTCTTACACGGCTGCCACCACTGTTACGGCTTCCACTTTTTACACGGCTGCCAGCACTGCTACTGTTTTCACCTTTGCCATGGCTGCCAACACAGCTACGGCTTCAACATCTGCTTTCACATCAGCCACTGCTTCCATGTCTGCCTCCACATCCTCCACCACCAAACACAAGGAGCCAATATCCTCACCCATGAGTGACTCTTCTGTAAGTAAATATTCATGTTAAGTGCACACATGAAAATTGAATTGTTATTAAAGCAGTAAGATAATCTTTGTTCACATGTATTGCAGGTTGAACTTGAGGGTTGGGTGCGCTTGTGGGAAAACCCTAATGGCATTTCACCAGCTGACCTCTCGTGGGTGAAGGATGACACAGAAAGAGGGCTCTTCACCAACATTCAGGTCTACCAGGACAGTACAGGTGTGCTGAAGAGAAGGCGGGTAATGAAGTCGGACAGAATGTGGTTTTACCCCCCTGAACCTCCAGGCTACGTCAGCGGGACTGTGCCATCTCCAAACCTGTTCTTTCGGGGCCGCATCTTTGTCTGGAGACCAGTTGGGGTGTGGAGATATTCACTGAAGTGTCCCCGTGGTAAAGACTGTGTGGGTAGTGGAAACAAGGTGCACCTCTACAAGTCAGGATACCACACTAAGGTTTGTCTGTTTACATTTTGTATGATTTTTACAGCAATTAGTGCACTGCATCATATTTAGTTGCAATTAGTGCAACATATTGTACTTTTTTAAATGACAATTTTCAACAAATGTAAATTCATACACAGTTCAAATTACACAATGGTTTATCATGTTACAGGTTCGTTACATCTGTGATGTAGCCAACTGGTACACGATGCTGACTGAGGTCCTGTGCTGTGGGCCATGCACAAAGGAAGGCAGAAAAGGTGCTGGTGCCAAGGTGGGTCGTTGGTTGGCATGGCATCCTGAAATCCTTTGTCAGCTCAGTGAGGCTCACCAAGCCATGTTCCCTGCGATTTTAACACACAGGTAAGTAAACTGACAGGTGGCATATATTTAACATTTACCACAATAGCATCTGTTTTATCACACACTGATTATCACACTTTATAGGCGTGGTGTAGACAAGAGTGTGATCCGGCTTCTGCGGGATCGCACCGAAGGGAACACAATGATAAAAGTGTGGCGGCAGGTTCAGGAAAACCACGTGGAGGATTATCTCCACAGAAAGGACCTGTACACAACCCTCCTGATGACCCTGGTAAAACCCGGAGCGATTGTGTCAGCCTTTAGACACCAGTTTGAGGCTCCACCTCCTCAAAGAGAGATGCCTTCTGCTCACCTGCTTCGCCACGCCTTCCTTCTCGCTGAGGCCGAAAATGTGCAGGACTACAGAAGCCAGATTCTGTCCACTTTTGGCACAGTGCTGAAAATGGACTCCACTAAAAAGGTAAATACAGCAATATAGAACATTGTTAAAAATTTATATTTTTTTTTCATTAACTTACAATTATGTTGTTCCAACACCTGCATGACACTTGAGTGGTTAACAAAAACATATAGAGTAGAATGACAGATTTTGTCACTGTTCATTTAGGCCAGTGGTTCTTAAAGTAGGGGTCGGGACACCCCGGGGGATCATAAGACAATGGTGGAGAGGGGGGGTCGCTTATGTTCTTCCAAAAATCTAATTAATTTTTATTAAACTACTAGATTTACCATGTTTTATCCATAACCTACAGAAGAAAAAAACAGTTACATGAAAACAACAACATGCAAATAAAAAGCTATCAGCCTTACCTTTTTTTGCGACCCCGGGGGTGGTTATGTAATATTAAAAGACACAGCAGATTGATTTTAAGGCTGCCAGTCCCTAAGATTTTTGGTGGTAAAATCATTCAGATTTAGAACTACAGGACAGAATAACATATTCAAACATTCATAATCAGTCTATTTTAAACATATGCAGATTTTTAAATAAAGGTATATAATTAGCAGTATACAGAGATCAATTTACAGATAATAATATCCAGGCTAACTGAGTTTCTCATGTCTTGCAGGTGGTCAAGAAGCTGTCTGGGGAGGGTAAAGGCACAGCGGAGTGGTTCACCAGCATTGGCAATGAGTACTCACAAATAGTCTCATTTATTCTTACATGCGAGGAGTCCACTGAGTGCCTGAAGCCCATGTGTCAGGGAGTTATGGACAGATTCCAGCAGGCCAATCAGCCTGTCCCTAAGATCCTGTACGTTGACCGTGGCTGTTGTCGTGCACAGGGCCCGACAGCTTTGGAGTCATTGTTCAAGACATGGGTGGATGGTGGTATGGTTGTCCGTTTGGACATTTTCCATTGGATCCATCGCTTTGATGCTGCCATCCGCACAGACAGCCACTCCAAGTATGCAGTGTTCAAGTCTGCCCTTGCAGGAGCGGTGATGGCCTACAACCGCGCAGACTTGGAGTTGCTCATCAAGGCTGTCAGAGCCAAGGATCCGACAGCTTTTAACAGAGTGACAGATGAAGATATGGTGCGACTGTATGTTTCAAGTGAACGGCTAAAGCACCATGTTCGGAGAGTCACTCTTGGAGCTCAGGAGACCTTTCGACTTGTGCAGATCGCCATCGATGAGCTCAAGGGTCCTGCTGGGCTGGACGAGAGTGGAGTCAGTCTCTTCAAGTCAACAGGTACAAAAGCCTGTAAAAATTTTATCAGTACTTACAGTAATGAAAACAGCACAAAGTATATGAAGTACACAAAAAAGTCATCATCTGTATATTGGTCTATAAAGTACAACACTATTAGCATAAATACTGTATATAATACTGTTTATAACTGTATATAAGATTTTTAAATATATATTTATAATGTGACATGTTGACTCATACATACATTATTATTACCTAACAGAAGCAATAGATAGTATGTGGGAGGCCCAGCAACGGCACCTGGAGTGCATGCAAGATCCTCCGGAGATGAGCATGTACAGAGTGGCTCGCAGCACCAGCATCAATGGGGTTGATGTGCCTTACTACAAGTGTCTTCGTGGAAGCAACAGTCTGGAGGGATTTCACAAATTTCTGCCTCACATGATACCAGGTGTGTTAAGCAATATGCCTTCAGTTATTCAGTCCATATCTTGAATACTATACTTAGCTGGTTAAGGAAACCAATCATACAGTTTGCTCACCTATAATATCCCTTGAAGGTGTTCTATACTTCATACTGTTTATTGCATTGAGTTGGAGAAAAAAGTGCAACTTTGTACATGTATAAAATGCTGTGACTGCACTTACTCTTTATTGTTACGGACACACCAAGGTCACGCTCCACACGGACACTCAGTGTCATCGTCTGGTCAACTAAATCAGTCTTAGATCCCTTCTTGTTCCTGTAAAGGATTCTTCAAGTAAGTTCGTGTGCTTTGTAGTTATTAGAGGCTTCCCTGCACATCCTCTGGGCTAATCATTACCTGCTCACCTCTGCCTCACCTATCAACCTGATATACTCACTGGCTTACTCACCTTTAACATATTCACCTGCTCACCTGCTCCAGCTGAAGTGTAGCATACTCACCTGCTCCAGCTGAAGTGTAGCATACTCACCTGATATACTCACCTGCTCCAGCTGAAGTGTAGCATACTCACCTGATATACTCACCTGCTCCAGCTGAAGTGTAGCATACTCACCTGATATACTCACATGCTCCAGCTGAAGTGTAGCATACTCATTTAATGTACTCACCTGCTCTCCTGTTCCAGCCATATGTGTTGAATACTCACCTGGCATACTCATCCTGCTGTGCAAGCAATCATGCTTTTTGTGGTGTGCTTATTTCAGCTGAAAATGAAGGTGGCTTGGCTTTCTCAAATTTTTTCACCATGTCATCGTTGTTTTAAAATAAGTCACCTTTACTGTATGTGTGGCCATGACATGATTTTAATGTTCTTTTCTGTCATTTCAAGGTCCCCACTGTGCGGCACGTCCATTCCAGGTGTACCTGATTAGTGGGATTGCACGCTGGAACTCAGACCGCAGTTCTGATGCAGTGTATGGTGGCAAAGGGCGAGTGCACAGAACCTACTCCGCACCTCTAATCCAGCGTCTCAACACCCGCTGCCAGCTGTTGTTTGGAGAAACCGTGGAGGAGAATTTCCGTGCCCCTTCTGCTGTGGCATCAAACGAGCTGCTTGGTTTGGAGTACCTCTTCAGCCAGAGCACGGGTGAATCTGGTGCCAACTTCTCCCTCGCTGATCTCTCAAATGATGGACCAAGTCCAGAGCAAGAGGTGGTTCAGCCAGACCAGGCTGAACCAGATGAGGATGACGAGGCTTACCAGAGTGACCCAGAGGCAAATGATGATGGGCTGGGTGTTGCCCCAGCCCACATAACTCTTACCACCAATGAAACCACCACAGCTCACCCTCCGGCCTTTGTAAGTCTTTTTCTCTTTGTCCAAATGCATCACTTTGTTACTCTTAATTATTTAAAAAAAGAAGCCAGACAATATATGCAATCATTTAAACTTACTATGTGATTATTGTGCCTTTCATCAGGAGGATGCCTGCAGCTCCAACCCCCTACCAGGATTTCAGCAGCTGGAGAGATTCTGCTCTCTTCTGGTGGAGATCGGTTTCTCTGAAACCAAGCTGAGCCTGACGACAGACCAGAGGAATAAAATCATAGATGCATGGAATTCTGTGGAGGACCACGACAAGCAGCCACAGAGGTTTCACCAGCTGTACAGGACGCACTGGGGCAACACACTGTACTGCCGGACGAAGAGAGATGATCTTGTTGAAGCTGCCATAGTTCAGAAAGTGAAGATGGCCCAACGCTATGCGCCAGCTCAACAAGACATCAGTGCTCTTCATAACCGGCTAATGTACACGCTGGTGAAACTTCTGTGGCTGGGGTTACCTCAAGGTTCCAGCCGATCAAGCCCTGAAAAATCATCCATCCTAAAGGCTTATGGAAAAATCCAACACTGCATTTTGGTGGAGGATCCGGTTTTGAGCAAGATGGGGATTCCTCTACCAAAAATTCATTCAAAGACTGTCCGAGATTTTATCCGTCGCCAAGAGAGGCTGGTCAACCTGCAGGCAACAAAGATGCCATCCTTAGTTATATTAAAGACCACATCGGTCTCCTCGGAAGAGTTACCCCCAGCAGAGTGTCAGCCGTCGGTTCTCCCTCCTCCTGCTTACCCAGAAATGGAGTACAAGCAAATCCCCAGCACAGCAGGCACCAAGATCTTAAAGAGTAGATCAGACATTACGGCGCCAGCTCCAAAAACTCCATCCCCCACAAAACACAATACAACCCCATTACCCCAGCAGAAAGCATTATCAACCATATTCAAACCTCTGCCCAGAACTCCAACAACCACCACAGATACACCAGAGGCCCCAGCTACCTCCGCCAACACCTACAGCCAGCCTGACACCCCTGCATTCTGGTCCAGGTCCTGTGTGTATAAAAGAAAAAAAACAGACACTCTAAGTGAAGTTGGTGCAAAGCTGTCTCGGGTTCACCACTTGCCTATTTGCACACTCTGCAACCAGCCTACTCAGGGGCATAAAAAATACAAAAAGAAAAACTTTTGTGTTGTGAAAATGATGTCTACCTCCAAAGGACTGGAAAACAGAGTGTTCAGCAGTTATAAAGACTTCATGGCTGTTGTGGACACACTGAAGTGAACTCAAACACTCTTTTGATAATGTACATTTCATGTATATATATAGTTTTTTGTGGTTACAAATTTGTGTGTTATTGTTTGTTTTTTCTACAGTGTAAATATGTATATAACGACATTATTACTGTTTGCAATTTCATGCATCTGTTCTATATTTTATTCAAGTTTAGTACATTTTTGTATTTAATATTTAACAGTTTATTGTTTTTATATATTTAATATTTTATTACATATATTGTATTTACTTGCAAGCAATACTTTTTGTAAGTTCTTAAAAATAAATTCCAAATGTTTCACAATTTAAAGGAATTTGTCAGATCTTTTACATACCGCATTATATAAAAACGAGCTACAAACATATTAAAACAAAACAAATCTGTACTTCCCTCATAAAGAATGTTATGCTATTTTTATTTTAAAAGGGAACTAAGTCATAAACCTTTACAATAAACATATATACATAATATTATATATAACTGCAGTGTTACATTTAATTTTTATGTTAAATATTTAAACTGACAAATATATTTACTGTAGCTTATACAGGACACTAGTCTTTGTTCTTATACATTTAATTCAAATAATATTATATCATCAAATTTTGTTTTTTAAAATAATGGCTCAAGGACAGGAATTTCATAGTAATTTCCTGTTTTCTTTAAATAAAAAATTGAATGAATAATTAACATGGTTAAAACTAATAAAATCACTGCTTTATTTAAATAAACTGATACTTTATAAAAGGGGACAGAAGATGATGAGTTTATTTAAAATATTACTTTTAATAAATTATGAATGGGCCACAAACCTTTATTTTCAGTCATTTAATTTAATTGAAAACAAAGTAAAAACATACCATATCAAAGACATAATACATCACGTTACTTCATTAAAAACAATAAACTTTACATAAATTGCTACTTTAAAGTATGAGTAAAAAAAAACAGGGGGAGGGGCGTCGAAGACGAGACATATTAAAGCACATTGGAAAATTAACTGAAGGACGGTAGTGATTTTTTACATTGTGAACAATTACACGTGATATTACATGTACAACCTTAAATCACTTCTTCTGATATTTCCATCACCTCCCGTGCCCTAACTTTCAAGTTATAAATAAATTAAATGTCTTGAACACATATGTAAATGAAGGACTCTAAGCATAGAATTTCAGCCAATCGCGTTGTGATTAATTGCACTACCATACGTTCCGCCGCCCATTCGCAGGGGTCAGCGTGGCCGGAGTGCAATGGCCAAGCCTCGCCCTGGGTGAACCACCTTCTTGATCATGGTATCTCCCCTGCCAGGTAAGTATGAGTTGCCGGGCGGCGCAAATGGCAGCCGCCGTTTTCTATCGGCCGTACTCCAGGGCGGTGATGCCCAGCCACCGAGCATGGGGAATGGGCCAGCAACCCCTGTCTCCTGACGGCGCTGTACTTGCAGCAGACGTGCCTGTGCTTGCAAACCACTCGCTAGTAACTGTGGCAACGCATGAAGAGTTTGAGCTTCCTCCAGATGCTTGCTTCGTGTTTTGTCATCAGTTGGGGCTGCCAACACATGGATTCCACTGGACGCACTCGATCTGGGGATAACAGACCCTCTATGGGGGGAGGGGATCCTCCTGTTCTTTCTTTCTTTTCCTCCATCTGTTTTCTTCCTCTACAGATGCCGTTTTTCTCTGCTTAGTTTCTGATTTGGTCTATTTGGACATGTCGACCTCCTGCTTTGCTGCGGTTCGGACCGCCTTTGCCTAGAGCTCCGTGCTTTGCACTCTCGCCTTGTATATTTCGTGTCCTGTTTTCTTACGTCAGCCTATCAGCACAGTGCTCAAACGACATAGCTTGAAGAACACGACGGGATCTACAAACGTTCCGCAAAAGAACTTGACTGACGAAAGCGGAAGCGCTAACGGAACAACCTCCCGCTGCAGGCACCTTACATTCCTGAGACGGGAAACCACCGACGGCTGGCTGCGAAATTGCCTCTGGTTCAGATTGGTTTAGAACCGTCCCTCTGCCCAAAACGCCACAGACGTCTGCAAAAGATTGCAGTTCTTGAAACAAAGTTACCTCTGATCCGAGCAGAAGCGTTCGCTTACTTAATGGCAGATAAAATGATGACCTTTCACACGGTCTGCATTCGTTCCGTCAGTAACAGCGGCAGGCCGGCAAATAAAATCCTGACGTTCCACAGGGCACACTCGCTTGGCGGACAAAAGCCACCGGGGGCTCTCTTTGCGTGTTCCTTCACCTGGTCAAACCGCTTTAAGGGGGGACCTTTCGAGTGGTTTTTCGGCGTCTGAACAGACTCTTCTAGCGACGGGTGGGCAGGCCTTCCACTACTGGAGCAAAAGAGGCTTAGCAAAGGACGAGGAAGAGAGGGAAGCGACGCTCCAGCCGGGTCCCACGCTACCGCCTGAACTCTGTCTTGAACCGCTGTGCTCAGGGGAGAGCGCGAACGCAGTCCCCTACTACCAGAAATTATGCAGTCGAGATTCCCACATTTGGGGAATTCGCAGGGGTCAGCGTGGCCGGAGTGCAATGGCCAAGCCTCGCCCTGGGTGAACCACCTTCTTGATCATGGTATCTCCCCTGCCAGGTAAGTATGAGTTGCCGGGCGGCGCAAATGGCAGCCGCCGTTTTCTATCGGCCGTACTTCAGGGCGGTGATGCCCAGCCACCGAGCATGGGGAATGGGCCAGCAACCCCTGTCTCCTGACGGCGCTGTACTTGCAGCAGACGTGCCTGTGCTTGCAAACCACTCGCTAGTAACTGTGGCAACGCATGAAGAGTTTGAGCTTCCTCCAGATGCTTGCTTCGTGTTTTGTCATCAGTTGGGGCTGCCAACACATGGATTCCACTGGACGCACTCGATCTGGGGATAACAGACCCTCTATGGGGGGAGGGGATCCTCCTGTTCTTTCTTTCTTTTCCTCCATCTGTTTTCTTCCTCTACAGATGCCGTTTTTCTCTGCTTAGTTTCTGATTTGGTCTATTTGGACATGTCGACCTCCTGCTTTGCTGCGGTTCGGACCGCCTTTGCCTAGAGCTCCGTGCTTTGCACTCTCGCCTTGTATATTTCGTGTCCTGTTTTCTTACGTCAGCCTACCAGCACAGTGCTCAAACGACATAGCTTGAAGAACACGACGGGATCTACAAACGTTCCGCAAAAGAACTTGACTGATGAAAGCGGAAGCGCTAACGGAACAACCTCCCGCTGCAGGCACCTTACATTCCTGAGACGGGAAACCACCGACGGCTGGCTGCGAAATTGCCTCTGGTTCAGATTGGTTTAGAACCGTCCCTCTGCCCAAAACGCCACAGACGTCTGCAAAAGATTGCAGTTCTTGAAACAAAGTTACCTCTGATCCGAGCAGAAGCGTTCGCTTACTTAATGGCAGATAAAATGATGACCTTTCACACGGTCTGCATTCGTTCCGTCAGTAACAGCGGCAGGCCGGCAAATAAAATCCTGACGTTCCACAGGGCACACTCGCTTGGCGGACAAAAGCCACCGGGGGCTCTCTTTGCGTGTTCCTTCACCTGGTCAAACCGCTTTGAGGGGGGACCTTTCGAGTAGTTTTTCGGCGTCTGAACAGACTCTTCTAGCGACGGGTGGGCAGGCCTTCCACTACTGGAGCAAAAGAGGCTTGGCAAAGGACGAGGAAGAGAGGGAAGCGACGCTCCAGCCGGGTCCCACGCTACCGCCTGAACTCTGTCTTGAACCGCTGTGCTCAGGGGAGAGCGCGAACGCAGTCCCCCACTACCAGAAATTATGCAGTCGAGATTCCCACATTTGGGGAATTCGCAGGGGTCAGCGTGGTCGGAGTGTAATGGCCAAGCCTCGCCCTGGGTGAACCACCTTCTTGATCATGGTATCTCCCCTGCCAGGTAAGTATGAGTTGCCGGGCGGCGCAAATGGCAGCCGCCGTTTTCTATCGGCCGTACTCCAGGGCGGTGATGCCCAGCCACCGAGCATGGGGAATGGGCCAGCAACCCCTGTCTCCTGACGGCGCTGTACTTGCAGCAGACGTGCCTGTGCTTGCAAACCACTCGCTAGTAACTGTGGCAACGCATGAAGAGTTTGAGCTTCCTCCAGATGCTTGCTTCGTGTTTTGTCATCAGTTGGGGCTGCCAACACATGGATTCCACTGGACGCACTCGATCTGGGGATAACAGACCCTCTATGGGGGGAGGGGATCCTCCTGTTCTTTCTTTCTTTTCCTCCATCTGTTTTCTTCCTCTACAGATGCCGTTTTTCTCTGCTTAGTTTCTGATTTGGTCTATTTGGACATGTCGACCTCCTGCTTTGCTGCGGTTCGGACCGCCTTTGCCTAGAGCTCCGTGCGTTGCACTCTCGCCTTGTATATTTCGTGCCCTGTTTTCTTACGTCAGCCTATCAGCACAGTGCTCAAACGACATAGCTTGAAGAACACGACGGGATCTACAAACGTTCCGCAAAAGAACTTGACTGACGAAAGCGGAAGCGCTAACGGAACAACCTCCCGCTGCAGGCACCTTACATTCCTGAGACGGGAAACCACCGACGGCTGGCTGCGAAATTGCCTCTGGTTCAGATTGGTTTAGAACCGTCCCTCTGCCCAAAACGCCACAGACGTCTGCAAAAGATTGCAGTTCTTGAAACAAAGTTACCTCTGATCCGAGCAGAAGCGTTCGCTTACTTAATGGCAGATAAAATGATGACCTTTCACACGGTCTGCATTCGTTCCGTCAGTAACAGCGGCAGGCCGGCAAATAAAATCCTGACGTTCCACAGGGCACACTCGCTTGGCGGACAAAAGCCACCGGGGGCTCTCTTTGCGTGTTCCTTCACCTGGTCAAACCGCTTTGAGGGGGGACCTTTCGAGTAGTTTTTCGGCGTCTGAACAGACTCTTCTAGCGACGGGTGGGCAGGCCTTCCACTACTGGAGCAAAAGAGGCTTGGCAAAGGACGAGGAAGAGAGGGAAGCGACGCTCCAGCCGGGTCCCACGCTACCGCCTGAACTCTGTCTTGAACCGTTGTGCTCAGGGGAGAGCGCGAACGCAGTCCCCCACTACTAGAAATTATGCAGTCGAGATTCCCACATTTGGGGA